AAAAAAACCTGCATATAATTTTTAATAAAATAGATTTATAAAATAAGAAAGATTCAGTAGAAATTTGATAAGTAATAATGTGATTAAACAGAGTTAGCTGAGAAGTAAATAGTTGGGAACAAGTAACGTTCCATTGTAAGGTCATTCTTCAGACACTACAAATGTGTGAGGTCACTTTTTTTTTTTTTTAATTTGGTCAAATGAATTGCTTTGCAGTCTATTTCTCTTCAGTCCATCTGGGACAGGTAGTCTTAAGTAAGCTTTGCATGTATCTTATGGAAATTAACATTTCTCCTATCTTAGTTTCCCTACATTGGAGGCAACAGAAAGGCAGACCAATAACAATTTTGCTATAATATATAGCATCAGTAACAATTACTAGAAATGTGGTCAAAATATTATCATTTTTCTGGGAATGAATTTGACAAATAAATGATAATAAGACTTCCTAATAGAATATTGATTGTAATACTTTGAGTGGCAGTGATACAGAAACAAGATTCTGATAGTTATTGAACTAGAAAAATTACATTATAATTTGTAGTCCATGTACCTTAGGTCCTACATTTGTAATACTGAAAAATAAATATATCTTTCCTTAAGGCACCAGAAGATAGTACAGCTCACATCAATAAGCCTTAGAATTTTGATGCACAAGTGATCATTACAGCTAGTTTCATGTCCCCTTTACTGAAAAAAAATCTGGAACTAATTAAAATAATATTAACCTTATAACTTGAATGTACACATATTAAATGAAATTTTAAAGTCCAGCTCATATTACCAAAGGAAAGCTTACAATAAAAATCAAAATAACTGATATTATTGATTACAAAGGCCGATAAATCATATATATGCCTACATGTATGCCATATATGGTAAATAGACATACATATATAGTTTGAGCATATTTAAGTGCACACACAAATACACATCATACATATGTATTATGTGTGTTACTATCTGTATTGTTAAATTTCAAATTGAAATGTTTGCTTTTACAAAGGCCCTTGAAAATTCCTATATCATATAAATATATAGGTGGAAAAATAAAGTCTAATGATAAAATGCATTA